AACATGTTAACAAATGTTAGTTCTAAAGATTCTTTATTTAAGGCATAAACATTTTAAAATTTTGTAAAAGGGCAAGAAATAAAGACAATACATTTGTAAAACGAAATTAATTTAAGAATTTACTATGCTTTTATGGTGCAGCATCCTGATTCGCCGGTTCATATCACGTGACTCCAAGTGATCTCATCTCACGTAAACTAAGCTACAAAAATTTAATTCTCTCATTAATTTCAAGTTATTAAATTTCAAGTTATCCAGTTATTAGTTCATTCTTTATTAATTTCAAGTTAAATCTTAATATGGAATAGAGGTTTAAATGCAAGAATCATTTTTATTCGTACGAAAAACTTACTCAGAAATTGCTTCGCTAGTCCATTCTCATTAGAATTGATGAATTTAACAATTTACTTTGCCTTTTCTGTATTTTCGAATTCGGATGAGCGGTGAGATTGCATCCTAATTGACTTAACTTCCGCGAATGGTTGTAGGGCATAAAATTGAACTATTTGGTAAAAATTCTATGCAATTTTATGCCAGTATTGAAAGAAACAATTAATCTGAAAAGAAATGGCTGCGGCTTGTTTTGCAAATGAGGCGTAAAAGATTACCAGCGAGGATATTCCATTTGGCATCGGTTGTTGCATTTTCGACGACTTGATCGTCTGCGCCGGCAAAACGGAAAAGTACCATTTTTTCTTAACGAATGTTATTCATCAGTATTAAGAAATGATATTTGAATATAGTACGTAAAATTTTACTGTAATATTCTTAATAAAATATCTTTGTGAGTCAAAAATAAAGAAGTCGGTTGTTGCATATAAAAATAATATCATAAAAATGTTCCTAAACTCTGTCTTAGCGATGGTTGTTTATCCGTGTAAAAGCATTATTAGAGTCTCCGGTAACATGGGTTAGAATTTAAAAATAAACTGGTTATTTAATTTTCGAAGACATTTATTTGTTAATAAGAAAGAATTGTGTTTATTAGATTGTGTTTAAGTTTTCATTTATACCGATTTGCTTACCTGAAATATAGAAAACATTTTGTATGTTTTACTTTTTTTTAAGCCTTTCTGTTTTGCTGTTCTTAAACTTTTTGTAAGGATTCTTGGATGCATGTGAAATTTTTAATAAAAACATTTTATACAAAAAGCATTTATGAATTTAAAGCGTTTGATTCTAATCGTTGTAGGTATTATAAATTCATATTTTTACAATGTTAAGTTATGAATTTATATTTTTAAAGTTATTTATTAGTACACATATATGCACTGAGTGATGTAAATATTAGAGATATCACTTAATAACACTATAGTCCACATTTAATATTGTTCACAGCCGAGATTTGTCGGAATATCGGTTTATAAAGCTCTGATATACTTTCTCTGGAATATTATACCAACGGCAGCTCTAATTTCATTTGGATTGGATGATGGCAATTCCAAGCTTTGAAATGACTTTTCCACTTCGTCTAACAAATGCTGAATAGGCTTGAGGTCAAAGAACGTAGGTGGCCATGGAAGCAATCTGAATTTCGAATTCTGTCGCACTTAGAAGCGGTGAACCTCCTAAACACCTCCTCCCGAGTGCTTAATGTCACATCCCAGGATATCCTCAGGACATCCTAAGTCCCATCAACAGTGTGCGGGATGTTATTAGGATATGAACTCCTACTTACTACATCCTCAGGACATCCCGGGATATCCACTAACCTCCTAAACACATCCCATTATATCCTAAAAACATCCTATCTATGTCCCATCGACAGCGTGTGGGATGTTATTAGGATTTAAAGTCCTACTTACTACATCCTCCGGACATCCCGTAATATCCTAGTTGCCTGCTAAACTCATCCTCCTGAGTGCTTAATGTCACATCCCAGTATATCCTTAAGACATCCTATCTAGGTCCCACCGACAGCGTATGGGATATTATCAGGATTTGAAATACTAGTTACAATATCCCTTTACCTCTTAGGACCCTACCCCTTGTCGAACATGTAGGTTGTTTCGAATGCTGTCATAATTTCGAATTATGGTCATCAAACCATTTAGAGATCAATCATACACGGTGACAAGGCACATTGTCCATCTGAAATTGACAATTTGTGTCAAGAACATCGGAGCGATAAACGGGTGTACACTGCCCCTCCCCCCAAAAAAGGAGGGTGGACAGTTTTATATCTCCCGTTCTACTGGGCTGATTGACGAAATTCAAATTGTATTTTTCATGTCTCGAAAGCGCGACTTAGAATACGTATTAGATTTATATATAGCATTCATTGCTCTAATATAGATATTTTGACACAAAATCGGACTTTTTCTGAAATGACATGCTATTTTATATTTCCATTCTACGACTCAAATTATGCCTAAATATTAAATTTTGTATAATTTGGTGCGAAATTTACGGAGAAATTCAAATATTTATCTTGGCGTATTTCTTTCAGTTTGCGCCAAGAATAATTAATTCACTTAGCGAACATCTTAATTTATAGCAACCTATTTTCTTTTCCTGTTTTTCATTGTACACGAGAGGGGGGGAGTCATCGTTCATACTGTCAAATATAACAAAGTGCGTAAACCACATTTGGCGTTATTATCGCTTATAAGAAATACACCAAATTTCAAAACGCGCCAATATGTAAATTCACGTACATCCTGGGAAATTTTGAATGAAGAATAATTTTTTGCAGGTATACTCAAACATTCATGTAATTTAAGACGATGATAAAAATTTTATAGGTTATAATACAATTTTTTTCCGAAAAATTTATAAAAATTATTTAAAAATAATAAAAATTTTAGTTTTAAAATTTTAAAGTTAAATCTTAAAAAAAGGCGAATTTTTTGGAATAAACCTAAATTTCGAAATGTGAAAGGAAGAATCAAATAAGTTTAATAAAAAAAAGGGATATTAATAAATATATACCAAATTCAATTAACATGGAAGAGCTAAAATTTTGAGAGCTAATTTTTTAAAAACTTCTCTTGCGATTTTTACAAAACTTGGCGATTTGGCATAATATAAATAGTAGAATCGAAATGTGGAAAAAAAATTAGCGTGTCATTTGAAAAAAGTCCGATTTTGTGTCAAAATACGTACATTAGAACAATGCTATATATAAATCTAATACATATCCTAAGTCTCGCTTTTGAGACATGAAAAATGCAATTTGAATTTCGTCAATCAGCCCAGTAGAATGGGAGATATAGAACTGTCCACCCCTTTTTTTTGGGGGGGGGCAGTTTATGGCTGCTATGTTTCTGATAATGTTTTGAGCAATAATAACGCCAAATGTGATTCATGCACTTTATTAAAATTATTTGATCAATTCAGTATGAACGATGATTTTTTCCCCGCTCCGTCTGCAGTGAAGAAAAGGGAAGGAAAATAGGTTGCTATAAATTAAGTGTTTCGCCAAGTAAATTATTTTTGGCGCAAACTGAAAAAAATTGCGCCAAGATAAATTTTTGAGTTTCTCCGTAAATTTCGCACCAAATTTTATAGAATTTAATATTTAGGCACAATTTGAGGCGTAAAATCGAAATATGGAAACAAATTGGCATGTTATTTCGGAAAAAAGTCCGATTTCATGTCAAAATGCCTATGTTATAATAACGCTAAATATAAATCTAATATATATTCTAAGTCGCGCTTTTGAGACACTAAAAACGCAGTTTGAAGTTTGTCAATCGGCCCAGTAGAACGGGTGATATAGAACTGCCCCCTTTTTTCCGCAGCATGCATGATTGGCAATGATATTAAGACAATCTGTGGTGATACGAAATATTTCCATACCTATGAAGGAAGTCGATGTTTTCTGAGGAAATATTTCTTTGAAAGACATAATTTAGAAACAGTGCTATCAAATTACTGTTTGTAAAAAATGTTAAAATTGGAAGTTTTGTATGTAATGAAAATTAATTCGTGTTGCCCTTAAATTACGCTTCCCTGCATCGCTTAAAGGATTTTGATAGTTACTTTTCACAATTCACAGTCATTTTTTTTCGTGCTACAGAAGATGTTTAAAAAGATTTTGAATGAAATATGGACCTGCTTAACTGATTGAGACCTTCCTAGAAAGCAAGTATAAAATTTAAGCTTTATGTGTTTCTTCTAACGTGTTCGAAAAATGATATCATTTGTGTGCTTATGGTTAATATTTATAAAAGAAAGTCAAAAGTATGTTTTAATCATCATGATTTTCTTGTCAGTGTCATGGTTGACGTTTTTGTTAATTTCGATGTAAAGTTTTCGTTTTTTTGCAATAACTTCACAAAATAATGAATTTTTTATGACTTTTCTATCGATTATATATAAATGTTAGTGCAATCCAATAATAAAATCACATAAATTCAGAAATATAACAAACATTTTTTTGAAAAATGCCCTTCGAACGAGGTCGGTAACCTTTTTGTAAAGCTCACTGTAATGTGCTTCTGAACTCTGCAAAACATTCATCTGAATCTTTGATTTCAGAAATCAAAATTTACTTAAAAATAACACCGCCTTATAGACGAAAAGGAGTAAGTGTATTCGCATTATAATTTTTTTTTTAAATTTAGATACCTAACCTAATGTAAGAATAGATAGTTTTTGCTTGTAGATAGCAGAAATGATTAAATTGCTACGCTGTAATTGGACACTGTGAAAGACTGCAATTTTATAACCACGCCCTTTTTACTGGTATCTAAATCTCTTCGGAAAACAGCATGTTGAGTTGGTGGATCATTCATCACTCTTATATTGCTTATATTTATCTGCGTGACTGAAGCGTACATATGAATTTATTTATATGCAAATATCAATTATGTTTATGAAACGTTGTCTCAAATACGTAATGTAAGAATCTTGCATAGCCAGATAATGTAATTAATAGGAAATTGTTTCAAAGCTCATTGTATTCACACGACGTAACAAAGGAAGGAAAATTTTAACAGAAAATTCTACGTTTGAAATCAGTATCAATGAAATAAAGCAACTTGATTCTGTTTCAGGACCAGGAAAAGTCTGTATTACTTCCCGCTCTACTTCTCCCGTGGCTGCTAGCGAAAGTTCCACCACTTCTGTTTCGGCCGCTTCCCACAACTCACGTTCCAAAATAGCCCTCTGGAAAGGATCGTCGAGCACCATTGGTAAGAAAACAACTTTTTGTTTTTTCTCTCTCTCCATCTGTCGTCGTTTTACTGCGTCTTTGACGAAGAACAACCCTTACCCCAATTAAATATTTTTGTTTAAAAGATTTGGTGGTTTGTTTCTCGGTTAGTCCTTTTGAAGCATGATGTGTCTTGATCATGACTGGAATTGTATTCATTGTTATTTTTGTGGAAATTTATTTGTTTATTTTTTGTGGAAATTTATTTATTTTGTGGAAATTTATTTGTTTATTTTCCGATTGTCGACTGTCTTATTTCAGTTCGCTTCATTAGATTAGGCTTGTATACGTATTTCGTCAAATTCAAGTAAAAACGGTAATCTTTTATACACTGAAAAAATAAATATATAAATAAATAAAAATAAAAATCTGAAAGGTTTCAGATTTTAAATTATGTCCAAAGGGGCGTTTTTTTAACATTTTCTCTGTTACCTTTATTTATTAAATATCACGTTATTCCCACTTAACCCTTTGCGGCACAGTGTGTCCGGTCTGGACGCACCTAAAAATTTCCTTCTGTACGCACAGAAAAATTGAATGAAAAAGGATTTATAGGTTACTCTGAACCTTCTTTATTTATAGTAGACGGCAGCTCAACACAAACCAGTCCATATATTTTAGTCATGTTTAGGTTTTTAAGACCCACATTTTTCAAAGAAATCTTCCAGATTTTTTTAGGGTATAAAAGGAATTGTTTGAAAAGAAATTTCTATGTAATTTTTTTGGCTGTATGCTAATCTTCTTATTCTATATTAGTTTTAAACTTTCACCTTGAAATCTTGCCTAAAATCAAACGGCGAACCCTAGGTGTGCCCAGATCGGGCTCACCGATATTCTAGGACAACTAAGAGTTTGTATTCTTTGTTTCTCTCTGCATCTCATCGGTCAATTCATTGACAACAATGCTCGTTTTAGCAGTCTTTTCGAAGCTCTATTCAATCAGTGTGCCCACAGAATTAAAACGATAAGTGCTATCATCACAAAATTTTGCTTGTGTACCCCTCTAGGCCTAATTAGACTGCCTACCTTTTTTTTTTTTCCATCAAAACTCCGACTTTAAAAGGTAGCGTGCCGGAAAGGGTTTAAACCATAAAATTCAGTTCAGGAGCAATATCGCAAAATAGTTTTTAATTGAGCATATCTTTAGAATTTCCGATACAGAGTCTCGCGCGCTGAAGATAATGTTTTTTTTTCTCTGCAACGTTGCCATTGCTTGCTTTTAAATCGTTGAGTTTGTTAATCAAAAATTCGTTAAAGATTTACAAAATAGGAAATCGATCATAAAACAAATTCCAAATTTCAAATTTGGGCTTCCACATGGTCATATTCGCAGTAGGATTACGTCATTCAAAATTCGATGGCTCTAGGTACCGTTGTTTTATCACAGTGCGAGAAATACACACACGCCGATTTTTCATTATTTAATTTCTTCAAATATAATGCAGGTCTCTAATATTTGGTGACAGCAGTTTGAAAAGTGAAACGGAACAATGCTATATATAAATCTAATACATATCGCGCTTTCGAGACACAAAAAACGCAATTTTAATTTCGTCAATCGGCCCAGTATAGAGCGGGAGATACAGAAATCTCTTCCCTTCCCGTAGTGTACTTCTTCAGTGGACACAATATGCAATAATTCTCGCAAATCCTTTAACACCGGTTGGCTGATTGATTTCTTAAAGTCGTGTGGTAAATCTGGTTTACGTGAGCACTTTTTGATTAGCTTTTTAAAATGTGGCATTAATTCTTTTCCTCCTTAATGTCGTGGTTTGTAATTAATCTTACAAATCGCTTTTTCCCTCCTTTTGTCCAAATTTTAAAGTTTAACAGTGTTTGCCTGTAATAGGAAAAAGGAACATTCTTCTCTTAGGAATTGCTGAATGATCATTTTTGTCTGAAGTTTTGATTCGGTTTTGTGGCAATGCTGCAAAATAATTTATCTCAGACCATTTAATTTATCTCCGAAGCTAGCCAGTGGCTGAATGGTAAAAACCACCGAATACTGGTAGTTCTTCCCTTGTTAATTTCTTCCCTCGTTGCGTGGGGTTTTCAAGGTTTCCTGCGTATATAATATAAATAGACCCACTTTACCTTATAAAGCCGCCTACAAAGGATTCTTTCTGTTGGAAGATGCTGTATAGTGAACCCAAATTAATTTATAGCAAAGCACTCAAGCACTGTCAGAAAAAGCAGCCATCTTGAAAGGGAGACTTTATTTTTTTACATAAGCAATGTGATAGTTATGAAAAATAATTTATATTTGTGAGAATTCTAAAATCAGCATCCTAACTAGCGTTTTTTACTTCCTTGTACGAAGTAAAAAGGAAGTATTGTAATCGCGAAAAGGTTCAGACAGCATATTTCAACGAAAATATCCATTTTTGACCGCTATCGAATGCAATTTAACGATTTTTTTGCGTCATATCTGTACGTAAGGACAGAATAAAATACTCTTTTCCTTCAAAAAAAATTATAAAACTGCTTTAAAATGAATTCTGAAGAGAATTTTTCGTGGCGTCTGTACGAACGTATGTACGTACGTGCGTACGTACGTATCTCGCATAACTCAAAAACGAGTAGCCTCAGAACGTTGAAATTTTGTATGTAGAACTGCTATAACATGTAGATGTGCACCTCGTATTTTGGTTGCAATCGGCCGCACCGAACGTATATAAATACTATATTTATATATATATAATCTACGCTGTTACTCGGCACAGTGATCTCAGTTTCTTTACTCTTATATGTTTGTAAATTGTACATTTTTTGCTTTAAAAATGATTGAATTATGTTGTTTTTATCTTCCGGTCAAGGTTTTTATGCCTTTCGTAATTCTGGAAGCAATATTTGTACAATTATCAACAATTTAAAAGCTGTTTAAGTGCGGTTAAGTTTTAAATAACATGGCGGACATATTTGTTTACATTTGAAACAGCAGAATTGTAGATTTGTTGCCAAACTGGAGAGACTAAGCTTCGGAACAACAAAAATAACGCCTTCATTTATTATTGCGAATTAAATCATTCTTAATCCTTTCTGGAATTTTTTTCGAGGAAATAAGTGTTTAAGATTTACTTAATTTTTAATAATTAGTAATTTTTAATACAGATATTTTGAGCTTTTATGTATTTTTGTCTTGTCGCGAAGTGAAAACTGAATTAATTGAATGAGAAATACTCAATCGTCTGTGAAAAACTGTTTCTTTTTTATTTTGTTTGTTTAATTTCTTTTTTACATCGTTCTAGCTTTATTATAGTATTTGAAAAGAACATGTGGCAACGATTCGATAATTCTTTAAATGATATACATTTTGTGCATTCTGAGTTATAATATGAACGAAATATAATACAGTTAAGTGAACCTAGTGCCAGAGTGTCGCTATGTTAAACAAATAGAGTGAATTTTAAAGAATGCCTTTATTCTATTGTGGTTTATTCGCTGTCGGCGAAGTAGATTTAATTCAATCCAATAAGTTTAAAAGAAATGCAAGAAACAAATGCGTATAATTTAATATTCCGTACAAGGAAGTTATGTGGTGTACACATCAGATTTTTTTTTTTCTGCTAAACAGGAGAAGTAATTTTTAGGCACAACATTTGTATTTAAATTAGTATCATTTGAAGCATTCTTTCATCACTTATAAGAGAAATTGAAAGTTTCTTCAGTTATAATGAATTATTTTATTATAGTGAATTATTATATTATAATGAATTGTTATGTAACAAATAATAATATGGTAATATGTATGAATAATAATATGTGATAATGAATTATTATATAATGAATCACTTGTAAGGTACATTTCCCACCTTCTTTTCATGCCTTCGTAGTGTAGTGGTCAGCATGCTAGGCGCGTATTCCAGGGATCCGTGATTCGATTCCCAGTGAAGGCGTTGCTCATTTTTTCACTTCTTCCTCTTTCAAAAATAACCTAATGACTCTACACATTTATATTTATTCAATTAAAATGAAACTGAGAAACTGAAACTTTCTTTAGTTATAAGAGAAAATATACCGTCTTGGGTATAATTCACATCGCACTTCCATGATCTTATACTTTGACCCTTTTTGAATCCATTGGGACGGTTTTATTGCGTGATTTTGTACGAACAGAAATAAAGGACTTCCCTCCCTCCCCCAGATAACGGATTGAAACGGAATCAGAAGAGATTTGGGGATTGGCCAAGGGGAGACAATGTAAAATATTCATGACAATGTTCTGTTTTACGAATTGAATAAATTAGTTTTGATAATCGTTTTCAGTTATTTAATATGGAAGGTGTTTTTTAAAACTAGCAGTACTCAGAGCCATCTGTAGCTAGATCTGTAAGCCAAAATGCTACCAAATTTGTTAGGTGGACTAATGACGACATGGGCGGGGGAAATGGTTCCAAATAATAGTTCCGAAAATCGCCGATGGAAGGGAAATGTGGTGCTGTTGTCACGTAGTTGAAAATTTGCATGAAGCATAGGTAAAATTTTAAAATGCAAATGCATGATTATGCAAACGACAGTAACTCCACTAATTCAGTCTATAAAGTCGAGAAGGATACACGAAGGAAGCTTCATATTAGCCGAGTCCAACAATCGTCTCATGGTACCTCAGCGCCCGTTATTTGCGAAGTTGGCTTTATTTTTACCAATAGAACGCACCCGCCATCGCGTCCTAAACTTTGAAGTCGTAACAACCTTCGTAAAAGCCTTCTATCAACTAATGCATTGAAAGGCTTGATTCAGCAATTTGAAGAAACAGTATGCCCAGCAGTTCGGTGTGGTAGCGGAAGGAGATCTGTGTCTGAACAGACACTTACTGATGTTGTGACCATCGTTGATGTCGATTGCTGTTGCCACAGGACTATTGCTGGAAGTAGTAGTGCCGGGGAATAGCGTTACGATTGGGTTTAAATGTTTCGAAGGCTTCGAAAACCTTACCCGCATGCAAGAATTAAAACACAGCCATTGTGAGAGATGGGTGGC